GAAAGACATCCAGGTTTCTCCTGCTACCTGAAAGCAAGGTGTTCCTATGAAAACTTTCTTAAGCCAAAATGGCACAGAGCAGAGAAGCAACTACCAATAAATTATATGGGGAAAACTTTTGAGTGCCTCCAGATCCCCCAACAATCACCACCAAAACCAACAAATAACACATGAAGCTAAACTCACACTAGCATGCAGTGTCCACAGACCAGTCTGTGCTACAGTCACTTGCTGTGAGATGCTAAGCATAGATCCCAGGGAGGTGGGGTGGCCATGCCTACACTCGCTACATGAGCTGCATTTTGCCTCCTAAATGGCTCGCTGCAAAACAAAACAAATTTCATTGTTTTGACTTGTAAGAAAAGCAGAAATCCTCTTTGGATTTTTCGTTTCAAAAAGAAAAAAAGGAAGTGACATGAAGAAATCTTTCAAAAGCAAGGGAATCCCTGTATGGGGCTGCATCATCTTCCTCTTTGGTAGCTTTCCTGCGTGTCTTCAACTATTTCTCAACAAGAAACATTTTTTAAAAAGAGACTGAAGAGATATTAACTAATGCAATATGCATGCCTTATCTGTGATTTGAATAAACTAAAACAATTTTTGTTATGAAACCCTTAGGAGAAGCTAAACATTACTCGTATATCCAGTAATGTTTAAAAACGCATCTCTCTTTTAAATGTGGAGCAGTTGGGGTAAGCACGTGTTGGACTATTACTCAAAAAGTCAGCAGTTCAAAACCAGCGGGCTGCTCTTCAGAAGAAAGACGAGGCTTTCTGCTCCTGTAAAGCTTTCCAGCCTGGACATCCACAAGGGCCATTCTACTCTGTCTTACAGGGTCACTGTGAGTTGGAATCAACTCGATGGCAGTAGGCTTTGGACTGGTTTTAGTTCACAAACTGGAATCACTTGATGGACATGGTGGGTGGAAAAACTGATAAAATGATAAGTCTGAGATGAGCTTAAAATAATTCAGTGTGAAACAAAGGGAGTCAGGGAGAGGGTATAGATCAAGCACATCTGGTTGAAGTTGAGTGACAAGTACACTGGGGTTCAATGAATTATTCTCCTTCCTTGTGGGAATATTTGCAAATTTCCACAATAAGCAGCTTTATTTAAAGGACACTGATAAACAACTGGGAAGAAACACATCATT